CACTGTTCAAGCTGGCACTAGTCCGTCGTTCCAACTGCTTGATAGCCAGAGTGGGAGATTTCGTGAAGTGAATGGGATTTCAGTCAACACGCTCCACTCATGCGTTTGCCTTGCCGTTCACCTCAACTGCGTGATGGTGAAGTGGTAATGCAGTACACAATCTCGACCAAACACCGTGGCTAGTGTGGAAACAGCAATACTTCAAGGCGATAGTAGTGGCCACGCCAGCTAGATGCGGGTTTGATTGATAGATCAGAAGCGTCAGAACAAGGTCATTGCACGCACGAGATTAATGGCAAGATTTTGGCTAGATAATTGCAGCTTGCCATCCATGCATGTGTGCAGCATCACAGCGCAAACCGATCATGATCTTGGAGATACCCACTATTTCGATATAGAATGTTTATGCAAGCCAATTATTTTTACATTTTTTCCCCAAAAGAGTGTGTTTTGTTTATCAGGAAAACTTTAGGTCCATGTTCTAATAATTATAGGACATGTTATGACTCGCGAAAATGTAATTTTGGAACAAATTACAAAATTTTAAGCTGGTAATTTCTTGAAATTTCTACGTCAGCTGCATTTGTGGTCCACGTGGGCTGGAGTGCGCGTGGCGTAACACCTGACACGAAATGTTACTTGGTAAAGTTTCAGTGGCAAGTGAAAACAGCGTGTGTGGTAACTGAGTGTGCATAAAAAGTTTTGGGCTGCTGGCAAATGTTGGGCTCTCGTTAGTTTGATGAGTTAAAATTTCTGTAGCCTAAAACCATTACGTCATTTTTCTAATCCATCGATCGCTGTGCGTCAAATATACAAAGTGCGACACAAACTTGGAAAATTTAAAACGGTAGAACGGTTTTGCTAAAATAAACATACACGTACTTTGTAGCTCAACCGAAATAAAGCAGTTCATGAAGAGATAGCAAACAGAGCCGTGTATTTAACTTAATCGTCTCGTATACCTGTTTGAAGTCGTGAAACGCCTCACAAACTCTTGTACTGGCTGTGGACGAAAGTTGGACGTCTCATTTTTAATGCAAATTTAGCAAAGCGAAAGGGTGCAGTTAATAAGGCGAATAATCGGTCGACTGACGAGAAACGTTGGTGTAATTTCGGACTGACAAGCCACAAGCATCATAAGTGACGTGTAATTATAGCCATCCTTTGTGGTGCTAGGTGTGAAAAAACACTCACCCCGGCCACTGCGTTTAATTTACTCAGATTACGCTGACTTGAGTATCCGCGAAGATTAAGAAGACGGACAGAGACATAACCACACAGAATTTAAAACGTTGCTGACAAAAGAGGGCCGTTGATCAACACAGTCTGGGTGAATCGGCGGGTAGCGGGTGGGGGTACATGCACAGGGGTGAGCGAGCAGACGGCTTAGCAAGATCGATAGGGACGGAGTGGAAATGAGGCCGGAATGGGACAAGTGGGTTATTGGACGTGAATTATTACGATCCACTACAACGTCAATCCGTTTTCAACTGCACTGAGTTAAGGCATGCCAAGTAGTGATAACGACCAGAACTCACATCGTTTGAGAAATGCGGCAAGTTGCTGGGACGGCCTCGTCTGATGCCGTTGGCTTCTGTCGCGTGACCTCCGTTGACGCTGAAGCCGGACTTGGGCGGCTTTTGTCCGGCCTTCGGCAGTGACGAGACGGCGCATCGCAAATCTCCTCCAAGCATTGGCTGATTGCCAATTGGAGATCCTGGTTTTGGAAAGGCATAAATAATGCTCAGGCTGATGTCTGTGACTCACTAATTCAAAAAATTGAAGAGCGCATTCGATGCTGAGTTGGCCCAAAATCTAGTAATGCATAGTTTATACTTGTTACAGTTGTGCAATGCCCCCAGACGGTATACAAGCCAAAAGCTATCCTTTGTGGAAAATATACATAGGTAGAGTGGAGTCGGTGTGCTGATGGTGTCCCATGACGGTGTTTGGGTTTGAGAAGGAAAAAAAGCTCTACTTCTTTAGGTTGTTAGATAACATTGGTCTTCCAACGGTTGCGATGCAGATAATTCCTAAAGCGATTAGTTTCCTTTATGAGGTCTCCTTCCAACGAAGGATTAAGAGGTAAGCCTGGAGGCTGGCGCCTATGCTACCTGTTGACTGTAAACATGCAATGCACTTTAATTCAATGCACTATATACTACTTTAAAAAAGTTCTTTATAAGGCTTAATGAGATTAATAACCTTGGCTTGCTACTTACGTACAAAATAAAACTTTAAAGCCATTCGTGCTGCCTTTGATAAAGTCATTAATTAAACTAGCGCACACTTATGGGTCATTTTAGGCGTCTTCACTGGAATTTTATGTGAATCTCCCCAAAAGACTGAAAAATTTGCTGGAATTTCGAACTTGTAACAAAACTATAAACAAGTTTTCAATTTGTAGGGGATTTAGTTAAAAAGGAATTGGGTACAAGTGGTGCAGAAGGTTGGAAATGTGCGCAATAGAATTATCAATCAGCACTGCAAAGCATTCACCATCACAAAAGTACGCAGTTCGGGTTTTTGCATCACAGAATGGAATGTGAAGTTGACAACTTACGTAACACCTTGCAGGAGCAAGGCATGTGAAAAATTGCTCGTTTACATACCACGACCACTTGCCGACTGTTCATTGGTTCACAAATCTCCCCAAGCATTTGGATGTTTATACAATCCCGAAAACCTATTCGCCTCTGTGTATTCACCGGATTTTGCCTGACCCACATAATCTACATAAACAGCCCGTATGTACACACAGTTATGGAAACTACTAGGCACGGTGCGGACAATGTGTTGTTTCCACTTATCAAGAAGTTGGTGAAACCGATGTCGATCACTGCCAGCCCACAAATTACGGTGTATTAGAAAGCTGAGATGAAATGAAAATGTAGGCGACTCTACAAACCGCGGCGATGCCATTAGCATTCAACCTACCAAGTTGCCATTTTATCATTTTTGCCTCCACCGGGTTCGAAATGCCGAATGCTGTGTAGCCACTTTTTTTGAGGTTATCTTCTAATTTATAATTACCGACGAGATGCAATGACACAAACTCAAGTTGACGGATTTAATCAAGAACTGCGTGTTTTCTACGCTAGAATTATTCAAACACGGAGTGTGATGTTTGGCCCAGATGTTCACGGGAGTGCACTTTTATGAAGACTGACGAAATCATCGGAATGCCATCCAGTTGCAGTTCATTTTTCTTCATTGCCGACTTCTGCACTTACAAGAATAACCTTGTAGGCCATTTCAATTGGTTGAAATTAAGAATGTTCCAGCACTGACTACTGATTTCGTGGATGCCAAAAACTACTTTGTATTGTTGCAGATTTAATCCAAAACAGCAGTTAACATTTGTAAATAATCGACATTGAGTTAAAATCCATAGAAATCAGGGGTTTAGGCTACAGTGCAACCTGTCGCTCGTAATTATTCTAACTTTCGGTCACAATAAGTACATTTCCCACTGGAGCAATCATTTCCTGACTATTAGTAGACCGCGTGTAACGTTTAAGCGCCATCGAAAATGTTTCGTTTTCATGGACAGAGCTGCTATTGGTTATGGGAGAATAATTAGTCATTCCCTGAATTCACTCAATACGCACACTACTGGCATGTATAACAATAGTCCGTTATAACTGAAATGTCAAAAGGACTTTAAAGAGCATGATTGTTGTTTTTTGTGAAGTCACATACCTTGAGTGTCTTGAGGGTGCGTGCGTTGGGTTTGAAGGTTCTTGACCGGCTTCTGTGACCTGATCGACCTGGGTGGATTGACGCGCGGACAGAGGAGCGAGGAAATTGTGGACTCCTCCCCAGTACTCTCCTTCCTTGAAGGGCCTCTTGGGTCAGTTGCACCGGTTGTTGGCAGGATTGAGCAATTTCTTATGGGAGAAATGAGCAATCGTTACAAAAAACGCCTTTTCGACGTGAAGTGAACCGCGTAGAGGTGCCTTTCACTGGGCGGTCCGACAGTCAAACACACGCCTGCTGCTGATTGGTCAAGACGCTGCATTCAGCTGTCCCCGTGTCAGGGCGCGCGGAAACACGAAAGGCACATGGCCAAATTGATTAATAAGTTACCATTTTCAGGGGAAGTAGAATGACACTGCTGCACCCACGCGTCTCCATCGTCTCGAGTTTACCTTGATAAATCATGCAGTGCACGCGCTTATGCTTAGCCTTAAGGTCCTTCCAGTTTTGTGTTCAAGCAACAACACACGTCCGCTGCACTAACCTCATGATGTAGTGATTCGTAGTGACCACTAAAAAAGTCCGATTCTGATGCAAAATCATCAGATTGTGGGACACACGTCTCATTTTATGTCTTTAAGCAAAATTTTTATTCCTACTGTTGTGTCAACCCCTCATTAGGGTAAGGCAATTTTGTGGCACGTCTTGGCACTGTGCTTAACTCGTTGGTCGTGATTTAACAATAATTAAATCCTTTCTATAGCATTCTCACAAAATTCATGCTACGCGTGGTAAATAAGTAGCCATTTTACAAACTACGCACTTTCCTTTTTTCATCCCAAACACAGGGAGACGGCTTGTAGAATCGGTGGATTTGTTCATAACCAGATGATCACTGACAGGTCTAGATGGCTGCAGGTCATTGTATGGTTGCAGAACGCTACTCTGCACCGAACTAGGAGGTGTGACGTAGCGTTTGTCGCCGTCGGGGCTGTCCAAGGAGGCAGGGGCGACGGAGGCCGCGTTCCCCTGCTTGTGGTGGTGGTGGTGGGTGTGTACGAGTGGAAGCCGGTAGGACAGCTTTGGCTGCGAGCATTGGCGCATCTTCTGTTTGAACTTTGACAAGTTGAAGAAAAGCCCGAGGATGCACTTAAGACGGCCATTTACAATGCCTTCAAACGAAGTCAAAGAGGCAAAATTCTGGATAGTAACGTTTAGGAAAAATGTACAACATCACAGACATTATTCAAACATGTGTGTGATTTTCGTGTCAAAATTTGACTATATTCACCAAGACACCTCGACCATGCAGTTATTGGAAGTCACCAAAATTGTAGCTGATTTGCCAGGAATTTGTCACTACAATTTTTCTGCTTACGAACCAAATCCAAGTAGTATTCCAATAATCCGGTTGAATTGCCTCTTTTTACATTGACTAAATTTGTCCCATCTATTGAAAGGTAGCTAACTTTTCAGAATCAAAGTTATGTAAATTCTAAGACACTTGATTCGGCGCATCCTTCAACGGCAAATGGGCGCATCCTCCGTAGGATATTTATATCGTTTTCTAGGAAAGTAAAATGCATTGTGAATTACGCTGATTCACACTAGCTAATGCGGTCACTCAAGCCTCCGACACAGGGTCCCCCTTTTCGCAGCATGTCGCCAGCCGCGGGATCCTCAACTCCCCGCTCATTGGCACGAAAGTCAATCGTAGATTATCATTGCACCTAGGTCTCGATGTTAGCTCATCTATGACTCACACATCTGAGGTATAAATGCACACGCGTTAACGCCACCCACGACACAACGACACCAACGCGGTTGAACTCTGAAGTAAACGGTTGTGTCCACGTCCTGTCCGGTCTTTTTTTCAGGGAAGCGTAATCGGGCCAGAGTTAATTCCGTGGCCTCGGAATGGTTTAAGACCACATACCGGGGTCCACAACAAACGAACCTAATGTGTCTGACCAAACACGTAATCGGTTTTCCAATACAATGTCATCTGATTGTAGCAGTCAAAATTTTTAGAGCTGCAATTCAAACCAATCATTTCTGAAATGCTTACACATTCTTCTACCTAGTGTTTTGATTTTTCAAATTTATTAACTGGCCCATGCGCTTTGGTTGTATTGGGAAAGCCCGACACTTTTTGTGTGTTCACAGCGCTATAATTGTGATTTCACTGCACAAGTGCAAAATTAGTGATTGGGTCAATGCTAATCGTGGAAGGCAAATTCTATACGTGTTTTTCTAAGCTACCGCTCCGAGATCTGTCAGACGATCAAAATTTCCGATGATTGCAATAGCAGTTTAGTTATGAATTGAAAAAAAATCAACTAGATCAAGTTTAAACTGATATTTAGCGAAATATAGCACTAGGTACACTGCATGACCACACACCGTAATTCGTTTAAGCGCACATCCCTTATTAGGTAAACAGATTCAGAAAGTGTATTTACGTAGCCTTGCTTTTGTCAAACTATCATCCAACTGTTCGAACCAGATTTGCGATAAGGTGTGCACACATAACGAAAACATTTTTTTTAGTTTAGAGATCATCAGAGACCAAAGAGATTGTTCGAAATTTTGTGTGCGAAAATGTGTGCCTTGAAAATATTTCCTGTCACTGGTGGAAAGCAAAATGTGACCTCACGTGACATTAACAATAGACAAGCTTAGTCACATGGTTTATAAAATTTTGACCATCAGTGAAAACCAGACTCCGCCAAATAAGAGTAATGTTAACGTACATGTCTACATACCATCGGCAGTCACATCCTGCATATCGACTCCGATCTCCTCCAGCACTTTCAAGCAAGCCTCGACGACCTCTCGCTAAATTAGAATGTTACTAAATTCAACCATCAGAAAGAGGACTTTTTTCTTCCAAACAAAAGATTAGGGGCAGTAAACGAGATGGCCAGCTAATAAGGCTTAATTACGTTGAAACGCAGATATCGCAGTGGCTAGCAAGAAGGCCTGACTCATGTGGGCGTCGAAATTCGTTTGCATTGATTTTAATTAAAAAATTTAGCATCTAGACTGCCTTATTTTCACCAGAGGCAGGACATCAGTGAAAAATCAATGATTTTTGACAACCTTAACCCTAACTTTTGAATATGAAGTCATAATGACCATTGGTAAAACTCAGGACGACTTGGAGAAGTGAAAATAAGGGAGATGAGAGAAGACAAGTTGATATCACCCAATTCTGTTTGTCAGAAGACGTGACGTCAGCAGAGGTAGTTGAGGGAATTCGAAAAGGTTCATGAGTGACCAAAATGTCGACATTAACACGAAAATTGCGGAGCATATTTTTTAACTAATCTTAGTAAAAAGCAACAAGCTGACGTTATGCTCAAACGTACCAAAAGGTACTCATTAATTTGAATTTCATGTATTGCCAATTCGATATCTGGGTTGTTATTAGAGTAAAAAGGTGATTCACCTACTCTCCTCTGCTAGAAGGTCATCAAGGGAATGTGACTTGATCTGAACTCGTGATGCCTTGGCAAAATGTTATATTACATCCCCATTTTATTTATAAAATTATCTATTCGAGATTAAGACTATTCATTGTATTAAATTAACTAAATATTAAGGGACAAGAAAAGAATTTAAACCTGAAACAATTTGAATTCGATTTGGTGGCATTCTATTCGAACATTAACTAGGCGTGCATTCAAGCATGAATTTTATTTAGAAGTTTTCAAAAAAAAAACGACATAAACCCCAATCGTTAACGGTGAGATCACAACATTGACTGACTGTTATTCTGGGTGTCGGCAGTAACATCAAGTTATGCCACTCATTCGACGGCACACTGATAGGTTAGAAGTTTTACATCCAGAGTCGAGATGTTCCATAACATTTATAATGAATAATAAGTTATCACCTCGTCATGTCTAAAGAATTTCGACAACGAAACAGCTTGCTCTTGCTTCACATTACTTTAATATCCAGACGGATACACTTGTGATATTAAACCCAAAGCGCCTACGCCCTATGAAAAACAAGTCGTAGGCCAGATTTTGTATTAGAGCTGTTATCAGATTTTCTGTCAAGCAGATTCGTCCTCAGTCACATCAATTAATTTGGCAGGTAACATGTCGTGGCAATACATTAAGGAAGCAAGATTTAGTCTCGCTAAGAGGTCCGGGTGACAACAGAACTTGTAATTACGGAAATATATCAACAAGTCGTAATTTTCCAAAATGAAAATTAGATGGTTTGCATGATGTTTTTTTTGAATGACTACCGTCAACTGATTTAGACTGGCATCCTATTTTGGACGAAGGCTGTTCTCATAGAGTGGACACCTTTAGCATGAATACTGTGCAAAAATAGACAAAACCTATGTCTATTGTGAGTTTGTAGGCATTGCAAAACTAAAAGGGAAGCATACCGGGCTGCTTGTCGAACCATCGAGTACAACCTTTTCATTTACTAAAAATGCAAGGGAACCATCCGATTAGTAAGTGCAAGCACCCGTTTAAGAGTTAAACCAACAATTTTAATGTCAATATTTACATCAGAAAATGCCATATTCTCTATCCAGCCTAAATGATGCGTGGACAACAAAGTTAAAAATTACTACATTCAAAATGTGTAGTGTAAATTACAAATAATTAACCGCACTCAAGTCACGAATGGTCTTGTCTGGTCATGCGTAAAACATTAAGAATGCACGAACTTGCTGCAAGGGGTTTGAGGTTTCTGAAGTTAAAAGATGCGTTTAAGGGTATTACGAATGTACTTCTGTACTGCAAATAGGTCAGTTAACTTAAGACCAGGAATATCCAGAGGTAAATAAGTTTTCAGCATTGGCATTGGTTCGGTATCACCCGAGCACCCATATTTCCCTTGTGCTGGCGATGCAAGCATCTCTTTTGCTTGCTAGAGTCGTTGCTGGCAGGGATCGAGGAGCTTCGGTGTAGTCATTGCAAAATACCCTTGATGATCAGAGTTACCTGACTTCAGCTTGCATCTCATGCAGAGAACGGTTTAATGTCATGCTGGTATATTTATCGGCCACAGAGTGAGATCATATTGACTGTGGTTGGATGATATCTCAGTTAATTACTAACCCTACTGACTCAAAAATCTGCCTTCCAGATCTTTTTGTTGTCCCTGAATTAACCAACCGAGGATTCTGCTAGTGAGAGGTTTTACTTGTTCTCAAGTTGTGTGTGAAACTGCAGCAATTGACAACGCAGGCGAGATAGATCACAGAACACAACACCTTGCTTACATGCCTTCACGGAAACAGTGAAGCCAACCAACAACCACCTTCTACCTTATCAGCCATAACGTGTTATAATATATCAAGGGGAGTTGGTTTTGGCTCCCCTGTGTTGGTAAAGAACGGAGAAAAGCAAACAAATTACCCAATCACCTGCGAACTCCCACGGTCGTCCCAGCACTGGTGACGACCGCTGCCCGTGCTTCCAGACTGGATGTACTTTAAAAAACCGACGCCCACACTGCATAAAGTATGCCGAAAAAAACGCGCATTTACCTACTGCGTGCGTGAGGCTGATTAGCATCTTGCCGTCTCTGAGGTCGTTTTGGAGGTCCCTGACGAAGCACGCGTAGCCCGCCTTTTCCAGGTAGTGATTTGCCCACTCAGTATAGAGCTGAAATACGAAAGCCAGTTCGAAGGCCTTTTGGCACGTGAGGAAACGCGCGCAAAGCTTAAGCGAATGTCAATTTTTGTTTTAATTAGTAAAAGTAGGTTTGCCAGTTGCGTGCTTTGAAATCGACGACGGGATTGGGAGTTAAGGGTACTGTTGTCGTGAAATTTCACCACAGGTGAATGGTAGAGAGCTGAATGGGTCATTCTTCTTCATAGCATGGCATCGCATGCATACTTTTTTTTAAAATTGAATGCGTTGCTTTTATCTATGGTTACATTATTATTTCAGATACGATCAGATGCGCAATAATTTGTGCATTTTAAACCCACAGACCTACAAAACACAGTGGAAGGGATGTCTACACCAGTACTAGGGAGGTAATTTTTTTAGGTGGAAAAAAGTCTTCTTTACGTGAAGTAAACCGGTCAGAAACCTGCAGAACATTCGAATGAAGGGCTAATGAGGCAGGGTCTCACATGCCTGGAGGGTTAGAGTGAATTCAGTGCTGGACTGAAGTCCGCCTCAACATATGCTGTAAAAAGCAGACCTGCCTTTAAAATGTTATCGACAGATCTTAAATTGCAGGCTAGTTTTATGACTACTTTCACTGTTATGTCTGTGGCGAGTAATGCTTGCGCTTGAAATTAATTTACCGAAATGGTCTCTGCCTTCGTTTTGACTGGCCGCAAGAGATCAAGTTGACTGATACAGTACTTTTGTGGAGTCGAAGGGTTTTGTAGGAAATTGCGTTTGGTAAGGAGACTCCTCTGGTGGATTTGTTGCTGTGGCGGTTGGAGGTGGCCGCCTCTGGAGGCGGCCGGTGTGACTTTCTTGGGGCACTTTGTGGCGCACATTGGGTAAAATCTACTGTAGAAAAAGACGTTGATGACTTTCAACAGTTATAACGTTTGTGATCCACACACAGACCAAACTCGGCCATTGGATGAGGTCTCTTTAATGCGTGGCATCAGAGCTTTCTGCCTTACAATGACTGTGGTCATCTGCTAAATCATTTGTGTAAATACATTCAACAAGTAAAGGATTTCCCGATGTGTTCAGCTGCAACGGCTTAACTGTGACAATGTGTTCACAAGTTGCCCTGCCATCTCAAAATATCCGTGCGCTTCGACAGCAACGCCTGGTTTTAAGCGTTACATACGTCGCTAAATTTGTGTTTTGTCAATCATCGCCTAGTAGATGTTTCCTGGTTCGTGAAGTAGAATGGCGGAACAAAATGAATTTCCAAAATTTTGGTTAAAAGGGTCAGCTATTTGCTACCTGCAAAGAAATCCATGCATAGACTCTACTTTGCTGTCTAGACACACCTCCCCATTCAAGGCGTTCAACTAAGACTGGTCGAGTTCTGCTAGGAATGAAACATGCGACTGTGTAAACTCGAATTTCATGACTTACTATTTGCTTTGGCGGTCAGTTAAAGGCGAATGTTTTTTTAAGCCAGCCTCCCTCTTGCATCAAATAAACTGAAAAGGCGCTTCATTTGGCGCACAGCGGTGGATGCTAATTTGCATACGTATCTCAGTTGCATGCAGATCGGTTCGTAACTAACGAAGATGACTTCAAAATGTCTGAAAAATAAATAGAATTGCAGTTTCTCGTGAAGTCCCGCATGCTTTCAAGCTCTGAGCGTACTCTGTCGAGCCTTTCTAAGTATTAAATGCAATAAACTCCAGATTGCTCTTAATAATATAGCACAACTTAGGCTTCTGTGAACTGTTTTATGTAAGTCATCTACTCTAAATTCATTTTTTCTGTCCCAAATAGAATTTATTTAACTTTAGCTTTTCATGCAGCACTGTTTTTGAAATCTACACGAAACGAAAGGCTTAGCTCACTGACTATGTTCACCTCTACAGTGAGCTTGCAGTCATCCGATTCATACTACAAATTAAATTTGGTCGTGAAAATATATCAAGACGTCTCCCTAATTAAAAATTGTTTGTGAGCTTACTGACCAAGTAAAAGGCTCAAACAGGTAACAAACGCAGACGATTTTTTAAAAGCCCGAAATTTTGTGCCAAATGTGACAGAACAGTTATTAGAGGTTGGAGTGAAGGCAACATTCAAAGCCAAAATGTCGTTCTAATTTACAATATTTGAATATGATGAATAAACTAAGTCGCTCTTAGTCTTGGACAGAAAATTTAATTAGCGATCAAATTTCCCAGTGGATTTGGCTTAAAATTCGTCATTTAGTTGATCAGATTGCCAATTAAACATAGTCTGATAAATCAACTTGGCGCAGGGTGAGAAAAGCCTCGGGTGGAACTGGCACTGCTCTACAAATCATTCAATTTAAGGCCCACACTTTGTCACGATGTTTCTGCAATTTTTTTTGAAACAGTTAACCTTTTCGACGGTGTCTATATACCAGAGAAAAAAATGCGCATAATATGTACGAGTTTGAGCGAAATGGCCCGACATTTCTTGTTTAGTTGGCGGGAGGAAGCCTAGTCGGACTTGGGTAAGTCTTGTGTGAACCCAAAACGCCCACTCGACATTCGCACAAGCGTGTTTTCGCTCAATCATCGGACTGATAGGCGCTTCGCTGAACTCTGCGATTCGTATTGCCAGAATAATAGTGGGAATATGGAGACGAAGATGCCCAACATTCATTGATCAGTTAGTTCTGCTTAGCTAACGCTGCGTATTTCACCTAGGCGGTGAAAGGGAACCCGATTGGAACCAATTAAATTTCATTTGAAGAGCTGGTTTCCCTTCAGTGACAATTCGAACACGTTAATAACAATAACAATAATACGTGAGTCATTTCAAAATATGTTTTAAGGTGGTCTTGATAAAAGTACAAAGTGCAGTAACATTAATCGGCTAATCTACATGTTAAGGAATTGCCGAACTGTATTCGTGAATCGAGATTTTTTTAATTATGGACCCGCGATTTCAAGTTACCATTAATTTGACGCTTTTTTTATCTTGAAAAGGCTAACACGCACACTGTATTCTGTTCACACAGCCGGATCCCCCTCAGTGCTATTTTGTTTTACATAACCAAGCCACTGCTTGCGAAATTTCTGCGGTTAAAGCACTACAATTTGTAATAACGAACGCACGAGGTGAGGCTAATATAACACACCACCCAAAACAATTGTCGGTTCCAAAAATCATTTGGATTTGTCAAACAAGGAATGTACTTTAAATTATTTGCGAATTGGGAGTACCGCAGTGATAGAACTTATAAGTATCTCATTTGTAGTTTCATAAAATCATAAACTAGAGCAAAAAAGGTGAAAAAGTTGATGGCTGGTCTTTTATTTAGCTAATTCAAGCTTTTCCTCTACGATCGAATACATTTCAGTAAGACATCCAGCCAAGAGTGTGTCTGTTTTTATAAAAAAGATGTGACTGCATATGTCTGGGTCCGTACTTCAAAAGCACCTTTCTCATAGGAAGCTTTATTTCCACCAATCAAAGTTTGAAATAAAGTGCTCAAATAACTAAAAAATAAGCCACGGGGCGAGATGACAGAAAACCCATGCCTTTTCGAAATGTTTCGGGGTGATTCACTTGTGTAAGAGGTGAAAAACAGCGAGGTTATTTTGGCGCCAAAGGCTCTTTGCATGCAACCGGTCAGAGCATCTCTCAATCCTGGCAAAATTATTGCCTTCTCCGGATAAAAATAATTGTGACTCAACTCGCTAACCCCTAAGGACATAGGTCCCTGATTGCACAATTTTCTTACCAAAAATTAATTCCCCAAAAGTGCAGCCGTTATGAGAGGTCTTACGACTAGGATGAAAAACAAAATTAAATTTGACAAATTGAAGAGAGCAGAAAGAGATTTACTCCAATGCCTTCTACCTGAATCTCTCTGACTAAATTGCATTAATTATCTCCGCTAGCATATAGTCTGAATCAGACATGTGTGAGTCATCTGAAGATCTCGCCAAATTGTATTTAACACGGAGCTATCCACTTCATAAAATCACCTTCACTGAATGACCTCCTTCCGATGAATCGCGCCGCCTTTCTTCAAATAGCATAAACTATGCACTTTAGACTATGTTGATGGAACATGAAACTTTATATTCGCGCCAACTTAATTGCCTAGTAAACGTCTGGTAACCACAGTACAGTTTGTTTTAAGGCACTTAATATTTGTTACTACGGCTTCGTATGTCTAGCGTCATTCAGAATAAACTTGGATGCAATTAGAATTCATGAACACGTCGGCAAATGTGCGGTCGCGACGTATTATTTGAACGCTAATACGAAATTGGTTGTCACAACAACACGTCGAAGTTCAAGTGACCCTTTCAGAAGCAGTAGATACTCCAAAAAACACGTTTTTTCTTTGAATTTATGCTTCTTCTAATTGAAACTTGTTAATCAAACGCTGTGCACCAATTTCTTGGCCACTTTTGATGAAACACTTTAGTCACTGCAGTGGCTAGAAGTCCATAACACTTGAGAGTGAGAACGTTAATTGCCTCAGCTAAAGCCCTAATCACACACTCCTTCAATAAATTCTACACTTAGTGTTTTTTAATAGCTCTGAACTGAACTAATTTTTAAATGTGGCAAATTAATTAAATTTTCTTTACACGTATGCATGGTCTATGTCGAAGATCTGCCCAGATAAGGTGTTACTTTTTCCAGAAAAATGTGTTGACGTCGAAATCAGCAACCTTTTTTATAACAAAATGACCACTCAGCTTGACACAAGGCATGCGGAAACACGTTGTTATTTTTGTAAATTTAGAACGCACGTTGCAACAACTCGAAGAGAATTTAGCACCTCCATTTTGCCTTAGATTCCAGCACAACTAAGTAAATACTACTAACGGAAATGACTTACCGGCTTTTATGGCTGTAGCTGAGTGCTGGGAACGCAAACAAGGCACTTTACTTTTAAAACCTTTTTCAAAGAATTCCGTCCTTTATTTTGCCATGGCGAAATTGCGCGTCCCAGTAAGTCCCAAAATTAAAAAAAAACGCTACCTAACTAGAAATTCACTGGTTTGAGGTTAAAAAGAAGTCGAAGGTTATCGTTACATTGTGGTTTAATAAAAAAAGCAAGTTAGGCTTAATAAACTACCGAAAAGTCTTCACCTTAGTTTTTAAAAACTTTAGTAAGTTAATCGGATCAAGGATTTGTGTTCAACTTAAACACAGAAAAACCACCCTAACCTATGTAAGTCGCTTTGGTTTGTGGTAAGTTCATGCAGGTCTAAGTCAATGTGGTTTTCCATGGATCGACATTTCGCCTAACAAATAATTTTTATGTTGATGTTAGTGGTGTGATTTACAAAAAAGAGTCATCCAAGCTGAATTTTGTTTTAATTTTCTGTATTCTCCTGCGAATGTGCTAGTAGCCATGACACTCGAGATAGCAATCTAGCAGAGAGAGGGGATTAATTGCTACCATAATAGCCCAAAGATCAAAGAGATCGGTGTGCCACATCGCTGTACATAAAGATCACTCGCCAACGTGCTTGCCAATTGCACGTGTTTAATATTCGATGTTGGATACTATAATTTGAACGACCTATGTTGACTTTGGGGAAATTTTCTGTCTGTGTTACCTCGTTTTTTATAGTCATGTGCCGGCATTGTAGTGCAGATTGACGCAGTAGGAACAGTGGTAGGCAAAAAGCATGAAACTAAAGTCTGCAAGCATCAGACACTGACCAATCTTCCAGGAACATTGGTAAACTAAATCTTTATTATACGTTTGATATCAAACTCGGTTAGATTGCAAATTTATAGCATGACAACTGAGTCACTTTCGTGCAACCCAAGATCTGACATCAAATTCAGTTAGACTGTAAATTTATAGCATGAAGGATAAAATCGCCGTCTGAACGCCGAGTCACCC